TTATTTTAAAAGTAATATATAAACAAGGCAATGACCCTTAAATGTATTTTTCTATTTCATTTTTTTACATTTAAAAATATTTTTTTTTCTCAATTATTTACTGGCTTAGTTTGGTAGTTTTCTAGTTTTAATTTTTAAAAATTTGGTGAAATATACATAAGTTTACCATTTTAACCATATTTAAGAATACAATTCAGTAACATAAGTACATTCAACAATGTTGTGCACTTTTGTAGTTTTGAATAAATTCAAATTTAAACATAGTTTCTACAAGATTAAAAAATTAAGTACAAGTATACATAATGCTTCCATGATTATATTTTTACATATAACATACATAGCTCCTGTATGCTAATGATCAAGGTAACCACATGGAAGGGAACTACAGCTCACCCTTCCTGCTTATTATGATTGTGAGAATGATTTTAAAGAACTCTGGAAGCTCAGTGCATCACTGAATTAGCCTACAGGGAATTTCTTCAGCACAAATGTTATCATATAGGGAATTTTTTCTTCCAGTGTTTTCCCCCCACAAATCATCTTTCTTACAAACTAATTGTATTACATGCAGGAGCACAGGAAGGAAATAGCAGAGCTGGGCAGTTTCTGAACAAGAGTATTTGACATTGCAATAATCATTGGCAAACTAAAGCATTGCCAAAGTGTGAGACATTTAGATTTCAAGCAACTCAGACTTGCTTTAGATGTGCAGTATTTGTATCATTTAAGATTATCTGAAAATTCATTTACGAGGTCACCTGTTTTCACTTAAAAATTGTTTTAGAGTTAACCAGCTAAAGAGCTTCCATTCAGAAGTAGCATTGGACTGCGGTCGGGTGTCACTTACTCATTGATCCTGGGCAAGACCTGTCAAATCACTGGAAAGATCCGTTTTCTTATTTGCAAATGAATCAATTAATTAAATAGAAAAGGTTTCACTGTGTATCTCCAACATCTTTAAAATCCTGGTTGAAGTGACCGGAATTTATAACATACTGAGTCCAATTTCGCAGAAAATCACTTTGGTTTTTCTCCTAAAAGCCTTTGCCTGAAAGCCACTGACTGTGGCCTTGAGGGCTTCTAGCAGCTCCAACCACCCTCACATATGGTTTCGGATTCCAGGAACGCGCGGGTGGAGGAAACAGAAGAGCGAGGGGCGGCACCGGGAGGCGGGGCCGGGGAGCCGGGGGCGGGACCTGGGGGCGAGGCCAAGAAGAGAGACGGACCGGAACTAGAAACGTCATTTCCGTCTGCGCAGTTACCCAGGGCAGAAGCCGAGCCCCGAAGCCGAGCCCAGGCCAGCGGCGATTGGCAGGTGAAGGGAATGGTGTTCCCGCCCTCTCAGCCGCGCCTCCCCCCTTTTTGGAGACAGGTTCCATCTTCGTCTCCGAGCCCTACAGGCCCCGAGCTGTCGAGGCCCGTGCTGTGTCCGGCGCCTGGCGGACGTTCCGTTTCTCTGTAGCGCCCACCAGGCCCCCAGCCTCCGAGCCCCAAAAAAGCCCGCAGCTCCGCACCCCGCGCCTCTGCGGCGATGCTGCGCCTCCACCTTCGGGCCGACGGGGAAACACTCGCTGACCAACCTCACATGGTTCTGGGACTTCTTTCCTGTTCGACCCTTGAAATGGTTTTTCGCTTTTCCATTCAGTTATTTAGAGATGGAAAGGGAAAGGCGTTTTTAAGGAGGAGTTTAGTGGATGTTTTCCTTCACCTGCCGTTGGTATAGGATCACAGGAAAGAAGGAAAGCGGAACTACCAGACCGGTAAAGATCACGGAACTTGATTCAGTAACACGAGTAGGAGAAGCGAAATGGGGAGTGTAGGTTCTAATCCCGGGGTGTGAGTGTCAGCGCTGTAGCCCAGCTTTCTAAAGCGAATGGAACGGAGGATCTAGCGATGTATCGGGCAGGCTTTTTCTCGTGAAGCTTGGCCAGATCAGCGGAGCCATGATATGTTATGAAAGTCATTGATGTGGGACAGAGAAAAATTCTGCATCTCAGAATCTGCAAATAAAATCTTTTATTACCTGAACAGTAGTTTGATAGCACTTTTCAGTATCTTAGGATTTATGAAGTGGTCTCACATTGGTTAATTTCTTTGGAGCCTCCTGATAACCTTATGGCCTCAGTATTTTTTGTGTGTGTTTTTTAAATCTAAGGCCATCAACTGTCCTTACTCCCCTTTTTATCCCTGGACCTTGGCCTCCTAAACCTACTCAAAAGACTTTTACCCTTAAATTTATCTCTCTCTTTCACATTTAATTTCTCTCTCACTACTGGATCATACCCAACAACATCTTAACATGTGTTAATCTCTCCCATATTAAAAAAAAAAAAAAAAAAATCCCTTGAGCCCTGGCCAGGTGCTCAGTGGTTAGAACATCGGCCTGCGGGTTTGATTCCGGTCAAGGGCACAGACCTGTTGCAAGCTCTTATCCTGCCTCCCTCTGGTCTGGTGGCAAGGGAGCAACCAATGGATGTCTCTCTCTCACATCCTGTTTCTCTTTTTACCCCTTCTTCCCTCCCTCCTCTGTCTCTAAGTAAAATCAATGGAAAAAATATCCCCAGGTAAGGATTTAAAAAATAATAATAATCCCTTGGATTCATTCCCAACAACTGGCCACCACCCCATATCTCTGCTCCCTCCAAAGAATCGTTACTATCCTCAGCTTTCTCACTTCCTCAACACACCCCAGGCTTTCTTCCTTGCTGCTCCACTAAACGGTCAGCAAATCTAACTTATTCTCCATGTACTTGACCCGCCAGCAGCATTTGCCACAGCTGAGCACGCTCTTTTTTCTTGACATACATACAATGTAATTATTTCTCAGTAATGTGAGTGCCTCGTTTCTGAATCAGAAATTTTTGAACCCTGGAAGATATTTCATCAATATTTTGTACTATTCATAATGTCACGGTGACATACAAGTTAGTGTGCATTAACATTTTCACTACTATTTTCTTAAATTTAGACAACCAACAAAACAGTAAATCGAGCCCTGGTTTGTGGTGCTGGTCAAGTCCTGTGATGTACATATTCCCACCCTGGCCAATTCCAAGCTAGGACCATGGCCTCAGCAACTGGGAAGAGATGTGCAGCAGTGCTCTGTCATCGTGTTTCCACCAGGCAGATACCAGTAGATGCTATGCGGAGACCAAGTAATACCTAACTGTGGGTGCTTTTGCTCCCCAGAGGACGTTTGGCAATGTCTGGAGATATTTTTGTTTGGTTGTCACATCTGTGCTACTGGCATCTGGTGGGCAGAGGCCAGACATTCCGCTGAACTTCCTACCATGCATAGGACAACTCCCATAACAAAGACTCCAGCTCAAACTACCATTAGTGCCATTGTTGAGCAAGCTTGCAAAAACATCAGTAACCTCAAGAAAATTAGAAGTAAAATATAGTGATGGGGAGGAAAAAAAACATTTAGTCTCTTAGGTCCTGTGATTGGAGCCTGCAAATTAAACTGACAAAAGACAGACTCACAGGAGAAAAGGCATAAAAATTTCATTTGATGTTAATATTTCAATTTTACATGCACACAGAAAAGGAAGGGAAAACCCAAAGAGGCTGTTAGTATTGTATACCATGATAACAAATGGAGATAAGTTTGTGAAATGATAAGACATAGGAAGAGAAGTTTAGGAGTAAACTAATAGAAGAAAGGGGTTAAGTAAGGTTTGTTGATGCAGACCCACCTTAGTGCCATTGACAATGGTTATTTTCTTCCTCCTGGTATGGGAAAGGAAAAAGGCAACACCTTCTCGAAGGGAAATTACCTCTTTCTTTTAGGCAGCTAAACTCAGGGTAGAGAGCTTTGATTACATCTGCTGTTTCTCAGTTGTCTTCAGCTCAAAATAATCCTTATGCCAAAGTGGATATTTTGGGGTAGGATATTCTGTTCCCCTTCAATAGTAAAATAATTAGTAAGTTAGGAATTTTGAGTATTTATTACCTTCATTTAATTTAATTGTAAGTTAAGTTAAACTTTAATGATTGTGGTTAGCCCGGCTGGTGTGGCTCAGACACTGAGCATGGACCTGTGAACCAGGAGATCATGGTTCAATTTCTGGTCAGAGCACAAGCCCGGGTTGGGGGCTCCATCACCAGTGGGGGATGTGCAGGAGGCAAGTGATCAATGATTCTCTCTTATCATTGATGTTTCTATCTCGCTCCCCGTCTCCCTTTCTCTGAAATAAATAAAAATGTACTTTGAATAATAATGACTGTATTTAAAATCAGCTCACAACATTTTTGCAATTGAAAATTTGATTCTTCTGGGAGAGACCAAGATGGCGGCATAGGTAAACACCGAAGACTGCTGCCGCAAACAACCACTTCAAAAATACAACTAAAAGACGGAACGGACATCACCCAGAACCACAGGAAGGCTGGCTGAGGAGAGACTCTTCAACTAGAAGGAAAAATAACAGCACACCGAGGCTCAGAGGAGGCGCAGTGTGGAAAAAACTCAGGTGCGGAGGTGCGCGCGCAAAGCGGGCTGGTGGCTGAGAGCGCGGTTGTCGTTTTCGGTCAGGGGGGAGTCTCAGACTCTGAGCTCCAGATACGGGCGAATCGCTGGGGACTCGGACCCAAACGGGAGAAGCGGGAGTGTCTGGCATCAGTTGGAAGGCAGCTTTCCCTCCGAGGTTTGCAGCGGTTCCGGGGGTTCTGAGAAGCAGAGCCTCTGGGAACGGGACTGAGAGGGGCCATTACCGCTCCCTCCGCCCGCCCTGTTGAGCCCGCCCCGCCCAAGCCCTGCGCAGAGCCATTTGCCAGATCGCCGCAGGCAAAGGCTAGATTAGCACCTCCCCAGAGGACAGAAGTTTTCCGCGGCAGACACAGCTGATTCACACAGCCAGTCGGCCTGGTGGTCAAATCCCTCTAGTATTAACTACAACAATCAAGGCTCAACTAGAACAAGACTGCGCACAAAGACCACTAGGGGGTGCACCAAGAAAGCATAAAAAATGCGGAGACAAAAAAACATGACAGAAATGGAGGATATAGAGCTAAAAATCGCAATTTTGAGGGCTTGCAAAAATGTGCTAGAAGCTGTCAATAAACTTGAGGAGAGAGTCACGAAAACTAATGAGACCCTCGATGCTATGATAAAGAACCAACTAGAAATTAAGCATACACGGACTGAAATAAAGAATATTATACAGACACCCAATAGCAGACCAGAGGAGCGCAAGAATCAAGCCAAAGATTTGAAATGCGAAGAAGCAAAAAACACCCAACCGGAAAAGCAAAATGAAAAAAGAATCCGAAAATACGAAGATAGTGTAAGGAGCCTCTGGGACAGCTTCAAGCGTACCAACATCAGAATAATAGGGGTGCCAGAAGATGAGAGACAGCAAGATATTGAAAACCTATTTGAAGAAATAATGGCAGAAAACTTCCCCCACCTGGTGAAAGAAATGGACTTACAGGTCCAAGAAGCGCAGAGAACCCCAAACAAAAGGAATCCAAAGAGGACCACACCAAGACACATCATAATTAAAATGCCAAGAGCAAAAGACAAAGAGAGAATCTTAAAAGCAGCAAGAGAAAGAGACTCAATTACCTACAAGGGAATACCCATACGACTGTCAGCTGATTTCTCAACAGAAACTTGGCAGGCCAGAAGGGAATGGCAAGAAATATTCAAAGTGATGAATACCAAGAACCTACAACCAAGATTACTTTATCCAGCAAAGCTATCATTCAGAATTGAAGGTCAGATAAAGAGCTTCACAGATAAGGAAAAGCTAAAGGAGTTCATCACCACTAAACCAGTATTATACGAAATGCTGAAAGGTATCCTTTAAGAAGAGGAAGAAGAAAAAGGTAAAGATACAAATTGTGAACAACAAACATGCATCTATCAACAAGTGAATCTAAGAACCAAGTGAATAAATAATCTGATGTACAGAATGAACTGGTGATTATAATGAATCAGGGACATAGAAAGGGAATGGACTGACTATTCTTGGGGGGGAAAGGGGAATGGGAGATGCGGGAAGAAACTGGACAAAAATCGTGCACCTATGGATGAGGACAGTGGGTGGGGAGTGAGGGCGGAGGGTGGGGTGGGAACTGGGAGGAGGGGAGTTATGGGGGAAAAAAAAAAGAGGAACAAATGTAATCTGAACAATAAAGATTTAAAAAATAAATAAATAAATAAAATGGATAAGATGCAAAAAAAACAAAAAACAATAAAGATAGATTTTTTAAAAGATAAAGCATAATTTAGCTTATTTTGCAAGACTAACTTGTCCTTGGTCATTTCTTGCTTATGCCTCTGAAAATCATTAGTAACATGAACTGATTCCCAAGGTTGATATGAGGTAACCACTGACCAATTCCCTATCACTTAAGAAAATTCTATTATAACCGATCACTCTGATGAACAGTTGCTGCTTCCTCACTATATAAACTGCTTTATAACACATACCCCTGAGCCTCATTCCATGTTTTGGTTTTAATGCTCCCAGTTTGCAAACTGTCTTTTTGGTGTGTGCCAAATAAATTTTTACTAATTAATATTTCAATGATTCATTGGTTTTACTTCAGCTATTTATGAATCTTTGACAGAGTCCTGATCAAAATTTCAATTTTAACATCCTGTTATGCATATATTTTAAAACTGACAGAATTACAAAGAAATAAAGGCAACCATAAGCACAAGAGGAGATCTTACTACATTTTTTTTTCTGAAAACTGACATCAGGTGGACAACATCAATAAATACATATAAAATATTTAGAAGTAAGCTTAACAAAATATGCACAAACTCTTTCCAGAAAAAAAAAAATATTGAAAGATATAGAACAAAAGGTGAATGTAAATAGCTGCTTATGTTTTTGGATGAGAAAACTTAATGTTGTAAAGATGTCAATTATCCCCGAAATTAGTCTACAAATTCAAAGCAGTCCCAATTGAAACCCCAGCAAGATTTTTAGGGGACTTGGTTAGACTGTTCTAAAACAGCAGTGGAAAAATAAAGGCACACTAATAGTTCAGACAATTTTAAAAGAGAGCACAGATATGTGTATGTGCCCTTTTGTCTGCATGACTCCACAGCCTGATAGCTTGAGAGACTTCTTCCAGTTTGCTGTTTAGAAGGATGGCAGTGCACCAATTTTTGTGCACTGGGTCTCTAGTGTGTGTGTGTGTATAAAGCCCATAAGCTGGGCTGACAGTTGTGAGTGCAGCGGTGGTCGCAGGAACCTCTCCCACCTCTGTTGCAGCACTAAAGATGCTGACTGTGGCTTAGGCCTGCTCCCCCTAAGCGGTCGGTCAGACATTCCTCGAGGCCTCCCGGGCTGCCAGAAGGATGTCTGACTGCCAGCCTAGACCCAATCTCCTGGGGAGTGGCCCTAAGCAGGCAGGTGGACATCCCCTGAGGGGTCCTGGACTGCAAGAGGGTGCAGGATGGTCTGAGGCCCCCCACCCTCCGAGTGCATGAATTTTTGTGCACCGGGCCTCTAGTATTGGAATAAAATCTTATATTCATCCCTAAACCCAAATCCCCTTAGTCCCCTGGTCCCTCCCCAGAGACAATCACTGTTAGCAGTTTCTGGTACCTATTCCAGAAAAGGCAATGGAAAAAATATATGGCATGGCTATTTCACTTCTAAAAATCTATCTAACAAAAATAGTTGCACAGCTATACAAATAGATGTATAAGTTTATTCACTTTGTAATTGTAACAGCAAATATACAATCTGAATGTCCAATAATAAAGAATAATTAAATTATGGCATATCCATACTTAGGAATGCTATACAACTATAAAAAAAATGAGTAAGATCTATATGTATTAATTTGGAAAAGTCTCCAACACATATTGTTAGGTAAAGAAAGCAGAAAATACGTACAGTTTTATCACATTAATGCAAACAAATAATCCTGTATGATGTATGTATATGTGTATATATAATATATATAACCATGTGCATGTGCATGTATACATATATATTGTTTAAATTTATATATATGAAAAGAGCTGGAAGAATCACATATCTATTAACAGAGAAATATAATCTTTCAAGAAAGGACTCGGCTAGAAGAAATGGAGGATTTTTTACTCTACAGTTTTATATTGTTTGAAATTTTTTCTCCAAGAATGTATTTATGTACTATTTATATAATAATTTTAAAGTAAATAAATCTCAGCAGTAATATGAATAATTTTGAATTTAAAATAGTAATGAGATGTTAAGTAGGGAATGCTATTTACATATTTTTCTAATGTCTGAATATTATCCTGATCCTATGGTTAATTATGAATACCAAATATCGCATTCTGTATGTTGACTGGTGAAAAAGAAAATATAAGAGTATACAAGACCAGTGGACAAGAAAATATAAGAGTAGCCCTAGCCAGTTTTGCTCAGTGGATAGAGCATCGCCCTGTGGACCAAAGGGTTCCAGGTTTGATTCTGGTCAAGGGCACGTACCTCAATTGCAGGTTTGATCCCTGGCCTTAGTCGGGGTGCATGCAGGAGGCAACCAGTCAATGTGTCTCTTTCATCATTGATGTTTCTATCTCTCTCTCTCCCTCTCCCTTCCTCTCTGAAATCAATAAAAAAAATATTAAAAAAAAAAAGAAAGCAGAAAAAAACGAGTAATGAATCTGTATTACAAAGACCACTTTACAAACCAATGGAGCAAAAAGAAATGACAAGATTTGGAGACAATTGACTAATTAAAAATGAATAATAAAATTAGAGCTTTATCACACAAAAAAGAGGATGAATCAAGGTAATCACGTTTCAAAATTCAGTATAATTATTTTTCTATTTTTTCCTCACATTTTAAAAAATTTAATTTTTTCTCCTTTAATTCTCAGCCGAGGATATGTTCATTAATTTGAGAGAGAGAGAGAGAGAGAGAGAGATATCAGTTGCCCCCTCTATGCACCCTGACTGGGGATCAAACCGGCAACCTAGGTATGTGACCTGACTGGGAATTGAACTCCCAACCTTTTGGTGTGCTGGACGACTCTCCAACCAACTGAGCAACCTGGCCAGGGTTTTTCCTCACATTTTAAAATTAATGAACAACATAAACTGATGAACAAAAACAGATCCAGAGAAGCATTGATCAGACTGTCAAACCTCAGAGGGAAGGCAGGGGAGGGGAGGGGTGAGGGGTAAGAGATCAACCAAAGGACTTGTATGCATGCATATAAGCATAACCAATGGACACAGACACCAGGGGAGCGAGGGCATGAGTGGGGAGTGGGAGGGGGTGCTAAGGGGGGGTAAGGACACATATGTAATACCTTAATACAAAAAATAAAATTAAAATTTGATATGATTTTTAAAGTTATGATACATCTCAGATGTCAAAGCTATCTTTTGTATTTACCTTAATAATAGAAACAGTGACAGTGTCCTTAAAAATTATTAAAACTGATTATTACACTATTTACAAAGAAGATTTTTTTTTTCCCTGAAGTATCCTGAAATACACAAATAAACTACACTTTGTGCCTTTTCCACCTGCTGGCTAGAAAGAGTATATCTTAAAATAGCAGTTTACTCAGTTTGGACTATGATAAAGCATCTCAGAACCATATCGCTACTGTAAATTTAATATATGGCATTATTCATTCATTCATACAACTTTCTATTTAATTTTCACTGAGTTCTAGTGACATTTCATAATGGGATATATAAAGTAATTTTAAATATACCTATTTTGCTTTTTTTTTTTTTTGCTTTTTTTTTTTAGGAATTTAAATGTCTTTGGTACAAGAAGAGGAATTTGAATTTGCAAAGAGGGATAAAGCTGCCAGAGTCATTCAGAAGGCCTGGAGAAGGTTTCTCGTGAGTTTTTTGTTTGTTTGTTTGCAGCTTTATTGCTAAATAATTTAGATATAAGGTTCACCTATTTAAAGTGTACATTTCAGTAGTTTTTAGTATATTTAGAGTTGCTTTAAAAGAAGACTGTTTTTTAAAGTTTCAAAAAGTTAATATTAATTATCTTATTAGCCTCACAAATATTTATGGAGTTCCTGATCTAGGCCAGGCACTTTGATAATAGCTACTATCAATGAAAGTATCACTAATTGTCTTATTTGGCTTTCACCTCTAAAAACTTATTTATTGACTCTGGAATCAGGTTTGTGAACAGGTGTTAGGGATACATTCACTCATTAAATGTTAATTGAATACCTACTCTTGAGGACTTAAAGTTCAATAATACACCATATCTGGGTTAATGTATTAGTTCCTTATTATGCTTTAATATGGGTAGAGCTGGTCTTCTTATCCAGTAAGGAATATTCCAAGTTGATTCCCTGGTTAGGTGAGAGCCAAGAGCTAAAATGACTTCACTCTTCTCTTTCTGATAGCAGCAGCACTCTGTCTGCTTGATAATTTTGTGTGAAGTCATATGGCTGTGTTTCTAGCACAGAAGAACACCTTTGTATCAGTTAATCACATTTTGCAAAGTAGCTTCCATTTTTTCCTCTATTGCCACTATCAAAGCCATAAAACCTATTCTGGGGGTAGCTATTAATTTTCAACACTAAAATACATTTTTTTCTTAAAAATCTATTCCTTTGATGATTTCCATCAGCATACTTATCTAGGCTTAAGGGTTTTTTTTGTCATTTGTAAGTTCTTTTATCTTACATCCATATCCAAAGAGCCACATGCTATTAAAGCCAACTATATTCCTGGCACTGTGCTAGCATTTTACATTACAACCTTGCCCCTAAAGAGTTTCAGTAGAGAAGACATGCATATAAACAAACAACTTGTATATGTGTGGTAGACTGAGCACACATTTTCACTTTCTATTCCTCCAACACCCCACTGAAATAACAATATACAGAAACTTAACTCATAACACAGAGAAGAGAGTTTGTGAGCAAATAAGAAATTTTATTTCACTTATGGAAAACCAAAACAGATGGTAGCATCCTGTTGGACAAAACTGTGTATAAGACTTGCCTAGATATACTTCATTTGGCCCCAGTGAGAGAGCTAGTTTGCCATTGCAGCCCTCGAAAGGATATGGGTTAGGATTCAGCAATTTAAAAAGCCTAGAAGAGAATGACTGTAAACAAGGGAGCTGACTGAAAGTCTGTACCAGTTGATTCAGTGGTTGAATGTCGATTTATGAACCAGGAGATCAGGTTTCAATTCCCAGTCAGGGCATATGCCTGGATTGTGGGCTCAATCCCCAGTGTGGGGTGTGCAGGAGGCAGCCAATTATTGATTCTCTCTTATCATTGATGTTTCTATCTCTCTCCTCCTCTCTGAAATCAATAAAAAAAAAATATTTTTTAAAAAGTGGTTAGAAACTCTGAAAAAGGGCCAACCATGAAAGTCATGGTTCAAGTATAATGCAAATGAAAATAGTTTTAAGACATAAAGAGAGTACATTTGATCCTCATTCTAGATACATTCTACTTCAGGTAGCTCAGAGGGTGACTTGTAAATAAGGATGCATAGTTTTAGCATATTATGTGGCCTTAGAATGATTTGCATAGTGATAGTAATGTAAATAAAGATTTTTTTCTATCATTTAAATATTTTTATCAAAATAATGTATCTTTCTTTAACATAAATAAAATAATGTAGATGCATACTAAAAAGCAAGTCTTTTATGTCACTTCACTCTTTTAGACCTTCATCCCTAAAAGCAACCACCTAAACTACTTTTTGGATCTTCTAGTAGTTAGTGCCATGCTTTTAAGTAATATGTTTATATAATTATTTTTTATTTGTCAACTTTAAAAGTGACAAATTTGAAAAGATAGAGAATTTCTTACCTTTTACAACCCTACTTATTCTCTCCCCTCCTGGTATCATAAATTATTATTATTTTTTCAGTTCTTCTGTTTGTTACCTTATTGCTTTAAAAAATATTTAAACATATATTTCTTGTTCCATCATGCTAATATAGCATTATTTGACAACTTATATATGATGAAGATATAAATATCCCTACCCTTTTCTTCACATAATCTCCCAATATCCTAACCCCCAATTTCTATCACCTCTACTACTATATTGTCAATATTTACTTGGAACAGTTTTTTATATATCCTTAATACAAGTCCTTTATTGAATATATGTTTTATGAATATATGGCACCACAAAAAGGTACTAATAAAACTTCAATAACTGACACTAAAGAAATGGAGATCTCTGAACTGTCTGAATGATCCTCTTAAAGAAGTTCATTGAATTACAAGATCATATAGACTGAAGTATGGGTGTGTGCTTTGGTGGAAGCATTCCTTCCATGGTGCTAAGACTTTTATAGCCATAGAGCCCAAATGTATAAGGAGAGGAAGCAAAATTTTCACTAGTGGATCATTAGAAGTAATATTGAGAGGAAGCCACTTTCATTTCTACCCCTTGATTCTCAGAATCATAATTGTTGGCTCTGGGCAAAATAACATCATATACTCGTTATTGATTCAGATGATAATACTATGACATAGAGGACATCGCCCTAATCTGAAAGGTGTTATTACTGGAGCTCTAACTGTAACTGAGTCTCTAAAATTCCACTCCACCATTCTCACAGGCCAGTTAGTTTAGGGCATCGTTTTTCAAACATTTTCATCTGATGGCACATATAAATTAATTACTAAAATTCTGCAGTACACCAAAAGATACATGTTCTTTGCCCAATTTGACAAAAAAAAAACAACTGGTATAATTTTTATTCCACTCACACTGGATGGCTATTGTTGTGTTGGCTGTTGTCATTTCTTTATTTGACAAACTAAGGGGAAAAGAGTTGCCCAATTCAAAAAAAACAAAAAACAACTGGTATAATTTTTATTCCACTCACACTGGATGGCTATTGTTGTGTTGGCTGTTGTCATTTTTTTATTTGACAAACTAAGAGGAAAAGAGGTCAGTGCCCCTGACTAAATAGTCAGGTATTGCATTATTTTAAAAATGCTTGCAGTGTGGTCCTGAGGATTAAAAATGCTGCAGAGTAAGTGGATGCTGCACGGACATGCTCCCAGGAACAAACTGGAATTACACTAAAATACAGAAAAATTTCCTGAATAATCAATGGAAAACTCCCAGGAGAGAACACTGATACCCGAGGACCAAAAGTAGAGACCACATAGAGACTGGTAGGAGGGGCAGAGATGCGAAAGAGCTGGCCAGGCACCCACAGATAGCAACTGAAGTCCCTGAGACATATCTCAGCTCTGGGGGTTTGCCACTGAGAACTCTGGGACCTAATCCCCAAGCTGGGCCACTCAGCAGAGAGCACCAAAACTGAGAAGGGTACCCACATAACATCTGGCTGTGAAAAGCAATGGGATGTTGTGTGCCAGGGAGTGAGAGCTGAAAATCCAGGCACCCTGTTAAAAGGCCAATGCACAAAATTCCCTGTGGAGCTACCCACCTTGTGCTCAGGCAGAGGAAGGGTGAAGTGGACTGGAACTATGAGAGCAGAAACCAGGACTGGGGAGAAAAACCAAGATGGCGGCATAGGTAAACACCAGAGATTTCTGCTTAGCACAACCACATCAAGAATACAACTAAAAGGTGGAACGGACATCATCCAGAACCACAGGAAGGCTGGCTGAGTGGAAATTCTACAACTAGAAGGAAAGAGAAAAGCATACCGAGACTCAGAGGAGGTGCGGTGCGG